AAACCCTAAACCCTAAATCCTATACAAGGGTCGGCTTGGTCCTCTCCGCCGCCTGTGGCTCCTACGCCGTGGTCGCCGTGGGGGTCGGCGCGCTGGAGCGAGGGGGCCTTCTCCGGGGTTCGGTGTCGGCTTTAGGGTTTGGGGTTTAGGTTTAGGGTTGGGTTTGGGGGTTAAGGGTTTAGGGTTGGGGTTGGGGGGTTTGGGGTTTGGGGTTGGGGTTGGGGGGTTTAGGTTTACTGGTGGGGGGTTGGAGGTTTAGGGTTTAGGGTTCGGGTCTTCGGGATATGATGATGATGGTGGTGATGGTGGTGATGAGACCTTCGAAGTACCGATCATGTACAGCAGATCAGGATGATGTTGGAGATCGGGAGTCAGAGATTCTGTTGCCTTGGGCCTGGGAGGCAAGAAGGGTTTAGGGTTTATGGTTTAGGGTTTAGGGTTTAGGGTGATTCGTATCTCTCCTACATGGAGGGCCTCAGATTTGGGTTCTGGGTGTGTCTTTCTGGGCCCTTCCGGGACATCTCATCGCATACCCAGCTCCCAAAGCGAGGACCCAGCCCGAAGTTTGAAGATCTTCAGCTTCAGGGTTTAGGGTTCAGGGTTCCGTTGCTAAACCAAGAGGCCATTCTGTAGCGCAGACATGACAATACAGACAATACAGTCCTTTCGTTAGAGGTCATTGCCATCGGTGCAGCGCGTTTCAGCTTTTCGTTCCTCGCGATTGAAATTACTCGGCGGGTCATCCCGGATGTGATCCACCTCTTCAGAAGTCTCTTTTGAGCTCGTTTTCTTTCTGAAGCCTGGAGCGGACAGAACACAGTCAGAACGTCCTTCGGCCGAAGACGCCGCCCTATGCGAAACCTAAATTTGCCATAAGGCCATTGGGTTTTCTGTTCGATACCTGCTCGGCCGATCCCAGCACCAAACCTAGATCAAACTAGCTGCGTGAAGGGCGAACGAAGCCTTTTGAGCTCAAGTAAGATGTCAAAGTTTGTGGATTGGCTTTTGCTGGTTCTGGCTTGGCTGGCTGGGAGTAATCGTGTTGGCATCTCCATTCACATTGTATTACTAAAGCCCTGCCGAGCAGCACACCCTGAAACGTAGACTCCTAAAGCCACAAGCCCTGAAGCCCTGAAGCCTAAGCCATAACCTCAATTCTAGTTGCCTAAATGCGCACTTTCAAACGCGAAACGGCCCTAAGCCCCAATCCGGAAGGATTCTCAGAGCTTTGCAGGACGACTGGGCCAAGGGCAGCATCGGACCGCAGCTCATGGCGCTGGGCGTGGCACGGCTCAGAGGATACATATGCATATACACATATACATATATACATATATACATAAATACAGGTATATCGTGATAGTTTAGGGTTTCGGGATTCGAGTTTCGGCTTGGGTTTCTTGGGATCAGGGTCCGGGGTTTGGGGATATGGTTGTGGGGTCTGCTAAACAAGACAGACTCTGCATGTTGCAAGAACAAGGCGTGCAGGATTTGAGGATTGTTCCTTCAGTCCTGCAAGAAGCTCCCTGCACTTCCAGAAGTGATTCGTAACTGTGCTCAGAACATAAATGTAAAAATGCAAAATAAGTAAGTTAAGCTTCAAGTTTGTAAGTCAAGACTCAAGATTTCCGCCTCCAAGATTTGGAGTTCCGCAGCCCCGCATGCCAAACCACTCGAAATCCCAAATCCTGAACCCCATCCCAGGCATTGCTCAGCGGCATCTCCTACCTCATGCTTGCCCCCCTGCCGTTACAAATCGGTGGCCAGGAGACCAGCAGCTGCGAAGGTTTGAAAGTAGCTCTAGCAGCGGCAGCAGTCTTCGCTTCAGCAGTCCTCGTCGTGAGTGCTGTTGTGCAAGGTGATTTAGGGGCCTTAAAAGTTACCTATAGAGTTTTGGGAGTTCCTTATACTTTAAAATATATACCTCAACACCCTATTCTAATTATTAAGGCCCCCACGTTACATAAAAGTCCGTCCTCCATCAAAGCAAGCGCCTAAGTACGCAAGCCGGCGTTGGTTTCCATAAGCGGAGATCCGAAAAGAAAGTCGACAAGTCAAAAAGCGTTCGACCTTTCTTCGACGTTTCGAGTCGAAAAGAACAGCAACACGCGAGCAGTCGAAGGGAACAGCAAAACGCGAAACGTCGAAACGTCAAAAAGCCGAAAAGTCGAATTTGTTCGTATCTGTTTCCAGCACCTTTAGACACAAGGTTGTTTTTGTTTTGTTTTCCCGAGCTTTCCGGTATCCAAAAACATCATGTGTAGCTCTTCAAAAAGATTCCAAGATGGGGCCAGAGCATTTCGTGATAGCATTCATACAAAATTTCCTGGAAGGACTATAGCGTATACCCCAAAGCCTTTTTCTAATCACTAAGGCACATAGAGTGGAATTTTTCCGAAGATCCGAGCATTCATTTTCTCTAGGTTCTACATGGTTCTACTCGGGTTTAAGGTTGGCTGTCTTTGTAAGGCATTACAAAGATTTTCAACAGACATGATAAGGTTTTACGGTTGTGGTGTTACGATTTTAAGAGGGTCTGCGGGTACTTCGCCCAGAACCCACAATCCTTGACACTATCCTCAATCTGCGCCTTCCGTCTCTGCAGGCGAAAGCTATCCCAAGATGCTTTCATATCTTCACAACTTGCTGGGGTTTCGTATTCTGCCGTGTTTTGTTCTCGACGTTTTGACTGTTTGACTTTTCGATGTTGAGCGATGTGCTGTTCCTTTCGACTTTTCGAGGCTTTTCGACTTTTCGGGTTTTCTGGTCTTTCGTGCAAAATCTCTATCCAACACCACTTTTCACGTTTCGACTTTTCGACTTTTCGCGTGCCGTTTGGCATTCTCCACTTCTCCGCCTTCCAGGAGCTCATGCTGACCCCGGCTCTTTGCTGGCCTTCCGGCGGCCGTAAAGCCGTGGGTGCGAATTCCGTGGGTTTGATCCGTAAGGGGTGAAGCTGCGTTTTCTGGACTGTGGGGGCCTTTTGGGGTTGTTGGGGGCTGGTTGGTTTTTCTACAGATTCCAAGCAGCGTGTGATAGTTGAGCATGCAGTAGCTCAGTAGCCACAACAATGCAATGCAGAGCTGCGTAGTTCTAGGAAGTTCTAGGAGCTGTTAGGAACATACTTGAGGCCCGCAGCCTTCTTTGTTGTTCAGCAAGGCTGTCATGTAGAACACTTGAACCATAAGCAATGTGAAGATGGGACCGGCCATGCCGAGGTCGTCTACTGTGGTCCTGGGCATCGGTGTGGCCTTTGGCACCTTGGACAGCGATTTCTCATATTGCCCGTGACATCTCTCGCAGTTTGTCATCCTCGCGTTGTTTTCGGCAGGCAAAAAGGCCCTCCAACTTCAACGCCTTTACCTTCCAAACCTTAAACCCCGAACCCTAAACCAAGCTGTCGGTCCTCCATTCTTTGTCAGCTACGGTCAAGGCCTCATCCCGGTCTACAAGCAGCTCATCAGCTGTGCGCTCCACGAGGCACCTACCAAAGGTTAGCCTGGCTAAGACAACAGTAACCAAGGGTGAGAAGAAGACGTAGAAGCAGAAGAGGGAGAGGAGGATGTGGAGGAGCAACAACAGCAGCAGTGCCGTCGTCGTCGTTGTGGTCTTCGTCGTGGTCGCCATAGTCCTACTCACGGAGGTGTTGCATTCGCTCGGCTGATGCTTGCTAGTGCTGGTAGTAGGAGTGTTGCAGCGGTTGTGGTAGTGCTAGTCGTACTGGAAGTCGTGCCGGTGGAGGTGGCAGAAGCAGTAGCAGGTGCAGCAGGAACAGAAGGAGCAGGAGGAGGAAGATTAGCAGAAGTCGTCGTCGTCTGGTGCTTCCTGTTACCACGGTTGTTGCTGCTGCTACGGCTCTCAGTGTATTGCTGTTGAGACAATCCTAAAGCCACGGGGCGCAGAACCTCCAAAGTCTCCACAGCCTGAGGATGCATCCCAGCTTAGGGTTAAAAGCCAAGAGTCAAGGGTCAAGGGTAGCGTCCTGTTGTGGACAAACCTGCCGACAGCAACCCAACGGGCTGCCGGAGGCTACACAGTCCCAAAAACTTCGCAGACTAAACTGTTTTTGCCATCCGTCGGATTGTGGATGCAGGTGCCGCAGGAACGTGAGCTTGCTGCTTCTTCACTGCTTCTCTGACTTCAGGAGTTTGGGAGTTAGGGCTCAAGGCTTCCCGTCAGTGTATGAAGGTCTCGAGGTTGACTTGAATCCCTGGTCCGTGACATGTCGGTTAGCTTCATCTTGGAACAATGCATCGCAAGCAGTTCCAAGAACAGCCCAGGTTTACCATCGCGATGGCCACAGGCAAGGATCTATGCGTCAGAAAATAGTGTATAATAGTGCGAGGAGCTGTAGCGATACACACACACACACACACACACGCACAGAAGATCGTAAAACACTTCCTGCTGCTGCTCCTAAACTCCCTACTGTGTACTACGTACGCATATTACTTAGTACTAGTGCTATGTTTACGATGACGACGACCACGACGGCACTGCAGTAGTAGGAATTAGTAGCAGTAGTAGCAGCAGGAGTGCCGAGACAAGTCGTCGTATGGCGTCGTCAGCAGTAGAGATTGAATATTCTTCCGAAGCGTTAAACCACGGGAATCTAACTGAATTTTTTGGTCAGCAGAGACTTTTCGTGAACTTTGCAGTCTTATTGCAACGGGCCTTGCTATGGCTACGGTGCTTCGAAGGAGAGCTGGTGAGGGTCAACGGTTTTTGCACAGTGAATTCTCATATTAATATTAATACTAATATTCATATTCATATTAATATTTAATATTCATATTAATATTTAATATTAATATTAATATTTAATATTAATATTAAATATT